TTTTTTTGATTTATTGTAGAGATGAGGTCTTGCTGCCCAGGCGGGTCTCGAACCCGCGGGCTCAGGCAATCCACTCACCTCAGCCTCCCAAAGGCGCGGGATTACAGGCTGAGCCACCGAGTCCGGCTTTATTTTTATTTTTAATTGATTTTTATTTTTATTTTTTTTGAGTTGGAGTCTCACTGTCACCCAGACTGGAGTGCGTGGCCGCTCCCGGCCACCACAGCCTCGACCTGCTGGGCTCCGGCAATCCTTCCACCTCAGCCTTCCAAGCAGCTGGAACTAAAGGCGCGTGCTACCACGCCCAGCTAATTTTTGATTTATTGTAGAGATGAGGTCTTGCCAAGTTGCCCAGGCAGGTCTCGAACCCGCGGACTCACGCAATCCACTCACTTCGGCCTCCCAAAGTACAGGGATTACAGGCTGAGCCACCGAGCCTGGCGCATTATTTTTAGAAATTCAAGGGGGATGCCGGGTGCAGTGGCTCACGCCTGTAATCCCAACACTTTGGAGGTGGAGGTGAAAGGATTGCCTGAGCCCGGGGCTTTGAGACCAGCCTGGGCAACTTGGTAAGACCTCATCTCTACAATAAATAAAAAAATTAGCTGGGCATGGTGGCAGGAGCCTGTAGTTCCAGCTACTTGGAAGACTGAGGCAGAAGGATCACCTAAATCCAATAGGTCAAGGCTGCAGTGACTATGAGCATGTCACTGCACTCCAGCCTGGGAGACAAAGTGAGATGCATACTCAAAAAGAGAGAGGGAGGGAGGGTATCGCTGCCATCTTGGCCTCCTCCCTCCTCAGAAACGGGGTCTCACTGTGTTGTCCAGTCTGGTCTCTTGGCCTCCCAAAGTGCAGGGAGCTACCATGCTCAGCAATTTGGTATTTTGTTTTGTTTTTTTTTTTTGTAGACGTTTAACTCTGTTGCCCAGGCTGAAGTGCAGTGGCATGCTCTTGGCCATCATAGCCTCAACCTGCTGGGCTCAGGTGATCCTTCTGTCTCAGCCTTCCAAATAGTTAGACAGGTTCATACCACCATGCCTGGGTAATTTTTGATTTATTGTAGAGATGAGGTCTCACCAAGTTGCCCAGGCTGGTCTTGAACTCCTGGACTCAGGCAATCCTCTTGTCTCAGCCTCCTAGAGTGTTGGGATAACCGACGTGAGCAACTGAGCCTGGCAGCAATTTGATTTTTAATAGAAGATATCTAGCTTATCTCAGAGTCAGGTCCCTATAAACCTTTATTTTTTCAAGTATGAGTAGGTGGCTAAGTAAGGCTAAGCAAAGGAATATCAAAAGAGAGCTGGAGGAATTCTCTGGAAACATTTCTTTTTCCTTCTTAGGCCATTGTTGCTCATCTCCATTTTACCAGGGCCAGGCAATAGTGTGTTAGAAGGTTAAACCAGCAAGTTTTCTGTCTCTAGTTCTGTTTTATTTGACACGGAGGGAAAAAACTACATATCTATTATGCTAAGAAAGCTTTGTTTTAGCAAAGTGGAGCATTTGAAATGAATTTCCATCAAAATATAATACAGACCTAGATAAATGCAGGTAAGTAAAAATTCAGGAATATGAAACATTATAAAAAGAACCTACAGTGTTTTTGCTGAAAATATTTGGGTTTAACCTTGAATTATGGTATTAATTTTTATTTAACTTTAATAATCTTTGCTTATCAATTTTTTTCATCTTAAAAAATAATCCCTCAAGAGAGCAAGCTTAATTTCCTTCCTCCTGAGACAGGTATTTTTGTTACTTTGAGGTATATCTAATTTTATTTCTGTGAGGAAAAGATACCTGTAGCAGTTAATTGTAAAACTGAACAGTACAGAAGTTTGACCATTTTTTTTCCCTCTTTTTTTTAATTTTAAAATTGTGGGGTACATTTCAGCATTAGGTATACAAATGTTCATTATGCAGGTACCCTTGTTGATGAAGTGTGCCCCTCCCTCCCCTATTTTTTTTGAGTTGGAGTCTCACTATTGCCCAGGCTGGAGTGCAGTGGCACACTCACAGCCACCGCAGCCTTGACCTGCTGGGCTCAGGTAATCCTTCCACTCAGCCTTCCAAGTTGCAGAAATTACAGGCTTGCACCACCACACCTGGCTAATTTTTTGATTTATTGTAGAGATGAGGTCTCACCAAGTTGCCCAGGCTGTTCTTGAACCTCTGGGTTCAGGCAATCCTCTTACATCAGCCTCCCAAATTGCTGGGATTATAGGTGTGAGCCACTGTGCCACGCCTAGTTTGTCCATTTTTTTAGGTCTTATCCCTTTCAGGAAAAAGGAAGTAGTTTGTTCACAATTATTCTATTACGAAATTATAAAATCCTGGTAGTTGTGGTAGAGGTTGTGGTAGACGTTGTGGTAGAGGTTGATATTGTTGAGAAAATCATTAATTCTTAACATCTGCCATACTATTAATTAGACTTTTTTTTTTTTTGAGTTAGAGTCTCTGTCACCCAGACTGGAGTGCAGTGGCCACTCTCGGCCACCGCAGCCTCAACCTGCTGGGCTCCGGCGATCCTTCTGCCTCAGCCTTCCAAGTAGCTGGAACTACAGGCGCACACTACCACGCCCTGCTAATTTTTGATTTATTGTAGAGGTGAGGTCTCGCCAAGTTGCCCATGCGGGTCTCGAACCCGCAGGCTCAGGCAATCCACTTACCTCAGCCTCCCAAAGCGTGGGATTACAGGCTGAGCCACCGAGCCCGACTAGACTATTTTTTTGAGTCGGAGTCTCACTCTGTCATCCAGGCTGGAGAGCAGTGGCATGCTCATGTCTATTGTAGCCTTAACCTACTGGGCTCAGGTGATCCTTCAGCCTAGCCTTCTAAGTAGTTGGTACTACAGGTGTGTGCCAGCATGTCTGGCTAATTTCTTGATTTGTTGTAGAGACAAGGTCTCACCAAGTTGCCCAGGCTGGTCTTGAACTCACGAACTCAGTCAATCCTCTTGTCTCTGCCTTCCAAAGTACTACAATTACAGACGTGAACCACCTCACCCAGCCTAAACTATGATTTTGATTAACTAGAATTTATGCATTAAATAATATACATAATACTTAAATATTATTCAAACTGATTTTCAGGGGATGATGGTTATGAACAAATTTCCAGTGATGAAGATGGAATTGCTGACTTGGAACGTGAAACATTTAAGTATCCACACTTTGATGTTGAATACACTGCTGAAGACTTGGCTTCGGTTCCTCCTATGACATATGATCCATATGACAGGGAGCTTGTACCACTTTTGTACTTCAGCTGTCCATACAAGACTACTTTTGAAATTGAAATCAGTAGAATGAAGGATCAAGGTCCAGATAAAGAAAACTCAGGAGCAATAGAAGCCTCAGTGAAGTTAACAGAACTAATAGATTTGTATCGGGAAGATAGAGGTGCAAAATGGGTAACAGCTTTAGAAGAAATTCCAAGTTTAATAATAAAAGGATTAAGCTATTTGCAGTTGAAGAACACAAAACAAGATTCCCTTGGCCAGTTGGTAGACTGGACCATGCAAGCTTTAAATTTACAAGTAGCCCTTCGCCAACCCATTGCCTTAAATGTCCGACAGCTAAAAGCTGGGACCAAATTAGTATCCTCACTAGCAGAATGTGGGGCTCAAGGAGTCACGGGACTACTACAAGCAGGAGTGATCAATGGATTATTTGAGCTTCTGTTTGCTGATCATGTATCATCTTCTCTTAAGTTAAATGCTTTTAAAGCTTTGGACAGTGTCATTAGTATGACAGAAGGAATGGAAGCTTTTTTAAGAGGTAGGCAGAGTGAAAAAAGTGGCTATCAAAAACTTTTGGAACTCATACTTTTAGATCAGACTGTGAGGGTTGTCACTGCTGGTTCAGCCATTCTTCAGAAATGCCATTTCTATGAAATCTTGTCAGAAATTAAACGACTTGGTGACCATTTAGCAGAGAAGACTTCGTCTGTTCCTAACCATAGTGAACCTGATCATGACACAGATGCTGGACTTGAGAGAGCAAACTCAGAATATGAAAATGAGGTAGAAGTTTCTATGGATATGGATCTTTTAGAATCCTCAAATATAAGTGAAGGAGAAATAGAAAAGCTTATTAATCTCCTAGAAGAAGTTTTTCACTTAATGGAAACTGCACCTCATACAATGATCCAACCTCCTGTTAAGTCTTTCCCAACGATGGCACGAATTACTGGACCTCCAGAGAGGGATGATCCATACCCTGTTCTCTTTAGGTAAGACACATTTATTTTTTGGGAAATAGATTTCACAGATCATTGGAGGCAATTTTATGTGGTTGATTTTTAAAAATCTGTTTGTAGGTAATGTGTTTCTATGTAAGGATACTTGCTATTTCAAGGTATTATCGAAACTCAGTAGTTAAAAACACCTGAAAGCACCTTATTGTGGGTAAGCCTATATTGTGTTAGTTCTTACAGCAGAATTGGGAACTTAAGTGAAAGATTGTAATAATTAACAACATGCTTTTATAAACATGTCTATGAGCAAGAATAAATGAGAAACTACTTAGTTACTTCTGTGAAGGTGATACAAATGTACAGCATAGAAAGGAGAACTTTTCTGTGTGAACCCCCTTATACATTATTGCTCTAATACATTGTAAGTTGAAATTGTATTTTGTTAACTTAATTTTATAGTTCTGGTTAAAGATATCTTTAAGGTTGCATTACCACTTGTTTCTGCCATCTACCTCTCTCGTTATCTGTTGATACAATTTTGCCATTACTGTGTTAGGATCAGCATTCACAGTAAGTTTTTTATTTTGTCTTAATCTTTGAGCTTTTCTTTGCATTTCCCTGTAAATAACCTTTTAATGGAAAAATGACATTATAATTGTTTTATTACTATTTGGAGCATAGTCTGTTATCAGGAAATGGGTCATGTGTCCACTCCAAAATCTACCTATCTGTTCGCGTTTTTAGCTGAAGCTATTAGCCCTGTCTTAGTTTGAGTTCTCTAAAAGGCCAATTTGAGTCAAAGTCTGGAGTGCAGTTCTTTGTCTGAAAGGTTATCCTAGGAAGCAAAAATGCATTAAGAAAGTAAGTAGAGGAGAAAAGCCAGTAAAGGAAGTGTTATTAAGCTTACTATTACTGTGGATAACTGGGGCTCATCCTATTAGGGACCCTCTGAGGAACTGGCTAAATGGTGCCTCTTACTTATCCCGCTGAAAGACTCAGGCTGGGGCATTTGTCTACGAACTTCTCCCTCTTTGAAGTTTTTGCACCAGGAATTTCAACTCTTCCATCCTTTGAGCTGTTCCTGCTTTTGGTCTGAGCACCCTTTAATGGCTTTGGAGAAAACCCAAAGAAAGGTAGAGAGGCTCGGAGGCCAGATATTGGCAACCCACACAGACTTTGCAGTGGAAGATCAATGGGTCAGTGATGGAACCTTGGGGGGCAGTAATATGTGAGTGGTGAGCAGAGTAGGAGTTTAGGCAGGATACTTAGAAGGAATAGAAAGACAAAGTGAGAAACTGAAGTGAACAATGCCATGGAAACCAAAGAAGAAAATAGTTTCAGGAAGCAACGAATGATTATTGTGTCAGGTATAGTTGAGAGGTTCAGAAGGTAAGGACAGGAAATCATGTGTTTTGCAATATAGATGATTGTAGTTGGTGCTGTAGCAACAGCAGTTTATTGAAGCAATGGGAGAGGAAGTATGAATGAAAAGCAACTGGGAAATAAGGATGTGAAAACAGTGTAGGTTACTGTTTTAAGAAATTTGGTTAAGAGGGAAAGTAAGCTGGGCTCGGTGGCTCAGCCTGTAATCCCGCGCCTTGGGAGGCCGAGGTGAGTGGATTGCCTGAGCCCGTGGGTTCGAGACCCGCCTGTG